TTCACTGCATGATCTCAATGGCTCCAGTCTTGTTCGGGCTTGAATCCATGTGATATAGAAGACGGAAAACATATCCGTTGTAGGTTTTCATCTCGGGGAGCTGATGCCGCCTCGCATACTTGACCATTCCACCAAAAACATCTCTGCGGGCTGCCTTTGTGTCGGCCAAGAAACCCTCCTTGCGGAGGCGTTTCCGTATTTCGACATCCCTACGGGGAAGTCTCCACTGGCCATCTGTCAAGTGCGAGAGAAAAGCATGCCGAAGCTTGTCTTCGACCTCCGCAGCTGTGTCTGTTTCCGTAGGGAGCGAATCCAGCTGCTTCCGCAGTTTGTGTTTGTGGCTTGGGACATTCACGAACACAAGCATGGCTTCCCGGAGGTTTGTGTTCATGTCGTTGTCCATATACCCCAGCCTTCTCAGAGCTTCGTATACAAGATTTGTTGAGTCGTTGAGCAAGAACGGGCCACCTCCCATGAAGAGAGCCTTTGCAACGCCCGTGCCGAACTTTCTAATTTGCGTCTTGCTGGTCAGCCTTCGATCAGTCGCAGATTTGCGCAGGAAAAATGCCATATTGTCGGAATACCTCCGCCATGATTTACTACCACTCCCCCGCATTTGATCCAAGACTTGGGTAATGCCGATTGACGGAGGAAAAACAGTTATTGAGCCCAACTCGTTCGTGAGCCAGAACTTAGTTGTGGAGTGAACCAGATATTCCCATTCCCTCTCGCCAGCGGTTGGAGAGAAATAGCCCAGGTCACCCAACATATTTTTGCAAGCTTCGGCAGTGTCAGTATTGGTCTGGAGGCGACATTCGTCACCCAGCTGCACATGCCCGTTGCCGTCTGCACGCAAAATCGCGCGTACTCTCGGAAACACGGATACACGACGGGGTAGTGCTTCAACCTCCACCCCCATACGCCGAAAGCGCTCGATGACTGTGAGCATCTTTGATGGAACGAAGACTACGACCCGTTTGCCAGTGTCCGTTGCGTCTTTAATGGCCTCTGAAAAATCGAGGTCGGACGTCAGGAGCGCCAGGCTTTGCCCCTTGTCACACGTCCGGATTGCTCTGTCGATCACATCATCATTGGCTTCTCCAACTCGGCTTGGATTGCGTTGAACAGGCTGGAACGTCACCTTGCGATCTTGGAAGAACTGGCTCCACTTCTTATTGTTGATGCGACGAGGCTCTGCGAAAACGGTTGTGTACACCACCTTGCCAGTCTCCTCCAGCCTGTTGATGACATCCTTGATTTCTTCAACACTATGGCTATCTGCATCCACAAGAAGCTTCATAGCTCCTGAGACACAGCCCGGCGATGCCTCACACTTGCACCTGTAGCGTCTGCCACGAAATGCTTTGCGCGATACGGATGCAAGGACCTTGGCCACGCCAGAAGAGAACCCTCAGGCAGTACTTATGTATGCAAACACAAGGCACTTCTGAAGACAAACCAGCCATGCGGCGACAGAGCTGGCTGCAGAGCTGCACGGGAGAAGCGATCCACCCGTTGGGCTCTCCCGACCGAGCTGCCACCCTCGACCGGACGACCGCGCACCCCCAATCTGCGTGGAATGTGGGCCGACGCCGCAGATCCGGCTTTGTGGAAGCTGCCACGCATTCATGTGTTGCAGCGAAGATTTGTAATTATCGCTGCGCTACAACAAAAGTGGATGCTGTCTCGGCCGCGGCAGCTAAAGCTCTCAGATCAAGATCGCTCCTTGCCAAGCTTGCTCCGCTCCAGTGCTTTACACCCGCAGATCCCCCACCTGCCGCAGGTGGTTGGCGACGAGCTGCTGCCTTGAGGCTTTTGGCTGGTGGCTATTTATATCGGCCTAAAGCGATACTTGTACCATTTTTTCATGCTTTACGAACCGAGCTTAGAGTCATTGCACGATATAAGGCTTACAGCTACTCATGGCTTCTTTGTTGCAGCTTTGATGAGCTGAAACCGTGACTCGGATCGAACTTTCTGGCCACGGATTCAGGTATGTCAGACAAGGCTTGCTATACAAGCAGCCTCGACGGCGGCCGGTAGATGGTAGCATCATGAAAGGCTTCGAGATGCTCTCAGGAATAGCCTAGACCTGCTCCAGACGTTCTCCGAACCCTAAACCCTAAACCCTAAACCCTAAACCCTAAACTCTAAACCGTCCGGGGTGTGTCTGAGTGATTTGAAAGCAGCATAAAAGTGCGACTTGCTTAGCAGAAGAGCTTAGGGCCTACCCATAGGCCCCTATCATATTTCCTTTTTGGGGGATTACCTTATAGGATTCTAAATATGAACCCCAAAAAGGGAACTACTATGCGGCCTAGGGGTAGATGCAAGTTGGAGTCAGAATCAAAGGTGTCCTTCCCGAACAGGTCGGTTTCATACTGCACAGGCCATCCCCTCACAAAAACCTCGACCCGTGAAATCCCTAAACCCCTAAGCCCCTGAACCCCTAAGCCCCTAAGCCCCTGAACCCCTAAACCCCTAAGCCCCTAAACTGCAAAACCCCTAAACCCCAAAGCCCCTAAGCCCCAAACCCCCCCCCAAAACCCCTAAACCCATAAAAGAAACCCTAAGCCCCAAACCTTTTGCTAAACCCTAAACCCAAAACCATAAGCCCTAAAACCCTAGACTTTCCCTGAAATCCTGAACCCTAAACCCACAAAGCCCCCAAACCGTAAACCTTCAAATGTCTTGGCCAAGCTGCGCTTGGAACTCTTTCGGCACCTTCGGCAATGCAGGTCTTCAGAATGCACCAGCAACCGTCGGGTAATTTAGGGTTTGGGGTGTAGGGTTT